TTGAGTAACACCTCAAGAAATGTTGGAAGTATCGATATCTATGATCACAGTGCACTGAGAGTGTGTATTGAAATGAGAGAACGGATAATGGAGAATGAATTGTGAGTGATGTGTGTGTGCGAATATGTTTGCAATGTGAATTAAGTGTGAAAACGAATATGTTGCATTTATACTATAAATTATGATTTTGTGATATAATGTTTGGAAAAAGATAGAATAAACACTCATCCTTACTAATATTTTCAGGAAATCAATATGACGGAGCCTTAAGGAAGAGTTAGATTAATAGATAGATCAGTACATAATAGGTTAAATTATGTATTTTATGAATATCAAAGACTACGTTACTTTAAATTTGTTGTTCTTGTGGAAAATAAACCTAGGACTTTTGTTATGTTAGAAATGGATTTCTTTTGTAGTATTTCATTTGATTTTCCTAGGAATAGAATATATCAGACTATATATATATATATATATATATATATATATAGGTATTGTTAGGACTCCAGCAGCCCTCACCTATTTGTTTACCTGTCACAACCATGACCACCTCAAAAGACTGTCTAGATGGACCTTTGAGCGCGTTACTAGTATAGAGGTCACAACTGATTCAGGTGATCGTTACCTTGGATCAGATAATGATTTAGATTTGAAGGATTTGACTAAGATAGAAAGCTGGCACAAGGTTGATGAATAGGACTGATTTTTAGTGTTGGGTTATGTTTGAGACTGCTCTAGGACTTAAATTTGTTTATGGAATGTAAATATTATTTTAAATCCTATATATTGTGACAAATAATATGTAAATTATTATACTTGATATAAGGAATGCATGTTCAGTTTCTTAAATTAGAAATTTGACTATATTTCATTACAGCCTTTGAAAGTATTGTTGTTCCATTAATATTGCACGTATATGAAAATTTTTTTCAATCAACCCATTTATAGAGTGACATTTATTAACTTGTTATAATGAAATTAATAAATCATGCTTTGTGATATTTGTTATTAATTATTGTCATTGTCGTACCATTTATATTATACTTTATGGAAATTTTATATAAATAATTATATCTTAAAGAAATTTCCATTGATTCATCCTAATAAATCCATTTATACGCAAAGTTCGTATTTTATCTCAAATTATTAGTAATGAAATACACATTGTACGAATTTAAAATTTTAGGGTATTATAAACTGACATCAATCAAGCATTGGGTGTCGAAGTAGAACAAACAATTTAGCTATATCTTTGTCTTTTAAATATACATTTGAAAAAGTTGAAGGTGATTATTCTCTTTAAGTTGATGTAAGTGTATTGCAAAATAAGAAAGAGAGAGGAGGAAATGTAAGTTGACACTGTAATTATTATGAAAAACTTACAAAAGTTTATACTTTAGAGTAAGATATCATTTGTTGAGAGAAAAATGAAATGAGATTGTTGCTTGTTCAAAAGTGTTAAATTAATATCTTGCAAAGATGACACAACTTGATAAAGAGGTTAGTGAAAAATTAAAGTCCTATGCAAGTTCTTTTACCCATTAAAATTACAAGTTTAAATCCATCAATTGATAAGAGCAAAAAAGAAGAGACATTGGAGAACCCCTAGAAAAAGGCATTTTGATAATGAAGTTAGGGAGCATTTAACATGTGAAATAGCTAGGCTATTTTATTCAGGCAGTTTGTCATTCAATTCAATGTTGCTAAAAGTCCTTATTTTGTTTTACTTATGCTACAAATACTCTATCTCAAGTTTTCTTCCACCAAGTTAGAGTGTTATAAGAACCACATTATTCCAAAAAGAAAATGTCAACATATTATGGTTGCTCCAATCAAATAAAAGATACTTGCCTAGAAGAAAGGTGTGAGTATAGTTACTAATGATTGGACTATTCTACAAAGAAAGTCATTAATTAATTTCATGGCAGCTTTGAATTCAAGATTGATGTTTTTGAAGGTTGTTGATGGGTCTAGAGAATATAAGAACAAGCATTATGTTTCCAATATAATTTTGTCATCCATTAATGAGGTTGGACCATGAAATGTTGTCCAAATAACTACAGATAATGTGTTGGTCATCTTGTATAGTGCTCACATTAGACCTTGCACTCAAAAATATTTGTGCTCCAAAAATTATATCAAGTAGCAACGAGGTTGTTTACGGTGTCATTAGATTTCTACTATTGTTGATGATCTGCCTTTATTATTTAAAAATTTCTTTATGAACCATTTAATTAGGCTAGTGATGTATAATTAGTTTGTGCATTTGAAGTTACTAACTAGGGGTGGGTAACAAGTGGGTTAGGTCGGTTTCAGGTTCAAAATCTCATAACCAATTAAATTAAGTATATAAATATTTTAGGCAGAAAGTAATTATAAATTTATTGGATTGATTCGGGTGTCGGATAAAGAAAAAAGCGGTTTGGTCGGGTGGATTTTTACGGTTTGTATATTTTTATTATTTCAATACTTAAAGGTGGTTTTCATAACTTTTTCGGTTATACTTGCTGAGCTAGAAACTGCCATTGCATACAAATGGCTTAACCAAATAAAGCACCCAAGACTTGGCAAGGAATGGGATCGTGATTCTGAACAAACAAGATGGACAAGCTAAGACAAGTGGTAGAACCTATTACAAAGATAGATGGTTCAAACAAGTGCTAACAGGAATGAAGAATGAGATAAGAAAAATGGTGAGAAAAAAACTTTGAAATGAGAAACCCCAAAGAAGAAGAGGAACGACACAAACAAAAGAGAAAAAAATACAAAAAGTGAAACAATAGAATCCTAAAATTTGGTAGCAAATCGTGTAAAAGGTATAAGTTGAATTAGGCCTGGGTATAATAGTTAACAACAAATAATATAAGTCGGTCGGGTCGGATACACAATTTTAAACCCGCACCCGACCAATTATACCTGCAGATATCCGAACTTTTGACTCATTAAATTTTAATTTTGAACTAACTCATCCGAGATATAAAAACTCTACTTCGGTTTTCATGGATTAGGTCGGTTGTCAATTTGTTGCACACCCCTATTACTAACTATTGTTAAAATTGGATTTGCCTCAATTGTTGTTGTGATGTTAAAGAGAATAAGAAACATTAAGCATGATCTTCAATCCATGGTAATTAATGAACAATGATTTTACTACAGAGAGCATGATGTCCATAAAGCTACATTTGTAAAAGAAACAATTATAAATAACTTTTGGTTAAGCCTCATATAATTTATGAAAAATGAAACTCTATGATTAAGTAAGTCAAGGTAGCAATATACATACCTAAAGAAAAGAAATTGACTCAACATTAATTTTTTTATGAAGTGGTATACTAAATCTTAATTGATAGATAGACTAAAAGTTACACACCACTTTATTATTTGACTCATTCACTAAATCTAAAAGTAAATTTAATCAATTGAGAAGGTCTAATTTATTTCATTTTTTATTTCAAATTTCATTCAATTAACCTTATGATTCATGTATTTCTATAATATGTATTATTGTAAACAATGATTTGAAGAAGTTCTAAATTGAATTTCTCCACGCAAGGACAATGATATTTGTATAGAAAGAAAAAAATCTTTGAGAAATTACTTTACAAATTCAAAGGAGAAGCTAGAAGCCATTGTAAAGTTTGTTAAATTCTAAAGTGTCACGGAAGAACTTAGTCAACTTGATTCCTTGCCATCAAAGGAATAGTAAATCACGTATGGAATTGTAATTCCTAAACTTCAATCCATCACCTTGAAGTTCCTTTCACAATTATATTCTTCTTGTTGTTATAAAAGAAATTGGAATGCATATTCTTTTATCTACTTTTTGAAAAAAAAAAGGCTAAATCCAAAGAGAACTAAATATTTAGTCTTTATTCATACAAATATTCTTCTTCTTTCAAGAAAATATAAAAATAATATAAAGTTTTAAAAAATAAAATATTAGTGAAAAAAATGAGATTCATTTTAAGGAACTAAAATCCTTAAAATTGTTATTCTTTCTTTTAATAAACTAGATTTATAATTATTCTTTTTACCAACAACGGCCAAAAAATAATAAGATTGAGATTATCATAGTTTAATTTAATATTTAATATTTTATCGTCCAACATTTTATTATCATTCATAACAATTTCAAATTTGTTTAAGTTATGCATTATAAATGAATTTATGATTTTATTATTTATATAATATTTTATCTCATATATATAATTTTTAAAAAAATTATATTTTAATTTTTTAAAATTAACATATGTTATACCTGTGTCAATGCAACTTAAACCAATATTTTGTGACTATATGTTGACAATATATAATTCAAAAGATAAATGATAATTAGAAATAAAAATAGAAGACTAATGTAATATCTTTAAAATATAAAGAATTAAAATATTTAATATTTATTAATTTAATATTAAAGTGTTTTGTCTTGTTTATTATATTTTTAAAAATTAAATTATAAATGTTAAAAAATTTATTGCAAAAAATAATTCCTAATAATTATTATTAGATGAACTCAACAAAGTGAAAATTCAAAATTATATATATAAATAAAAAGATAAAACAATGAAATATTTGAACAACTATTTTTTATAGTTCTTTTTGTAGAAATTATAGAAATATAAATTTATTTTATAAAATTATAAAATATTTTTTTTTTTAAATATCACCATTAGTAACTTTTGGCCAAAAATTGTCAACAATGACCTTTGATTATTTTTTTATACTTTTTTAATATTTAGTTATTATTTTAAAGATTGTTATTGATATTTTTTAAAAAAAATATCATTAACATTTCCGACACTATCATTTTTTCAATTTTATTTCTGAATTTTTTATTACATCAAAAGTTTTCGTTAGCAATTTTTAAATTTTATATTTCTGCAATTTAAAAAAAACACCATGTTTTAAAATATATATATATATATATATTTATATATAGATATATATATATATATAATTACTAAAAGTGATATATAAAAAAAATAATCCTATTTGAGGGTGCATTACAAAAACCAAAAAGGAAGAAGAGTGAGAAATTTGAGCTGAGCGAAGCAGGAGAGGGAAGGGATAAAGAAGAACAAGGCGGTTTGGAGTATGATTTCCACTATGCATCTTCAACCATTAGCCATTTCTTCTTCTTCCTCTTTCACCCATATTTCTTTGCTGCCTTCATTCCCTTCCTTATGCTTCTCGCAAAGCCACTCAAACTTAAGCACAAGCACAACCATATGCAAACGTTTCTTATCTCCTTCTGTAAACGGAAAGTTCGCAACTTTACCATTTTCATCCACTAAGCGCCTCACTACAAGAGCCGCTGAGTACAAATTTCCTGACCCAATTCCCGAATTTGCAGATTCCGTGAGTTGTCTCTACCATTTTTGGGTTCTATCAGTTTATTAAATCAAAATTAACTTTATTTATTTATTTTCCGTCGGTTTCAGGAGACGGAAAAATTCAAAAGCCACCTTCTCAAGAAGCTTTCAAAGAGAGATATTTATGGAGAATCAGTTGAAGAAGTTGTAGGAGTTTGCACGGAGGTTGGTTTCCTGCTTCATGCTCCCTATCATTTTGCTAATTTGGTTGCCCACAATTTTGTTTCTTTTGTTTATGGATTTTACTCTTTGTTGAGTTATAAATTGTTTCCATTTAAGTTTTATTTGGTAATGTCTTAATATCTGTCTTGGAAAAGAATTCATATTTGAGGGGTCTCCTTTCTATGACTAAGCTATAATACGAACGCACTATGTGACAGAGATAGGGAGTGGGAATAAGTTTGATGATTAATTGGTCATAACAGTATGATTGCTCAGCTTGCTAAACTCTCTTTAAAAGCATTCCGTGTCACCCTGCTTTGCATATGTTTGCCTTTATTGGAGAAGTTAATCATGAATCACTCCTCCAGGGATGTGTTTGCAGGTTTAGTTTGTGGTTTTCTCTGAAATTTTACAGTGATGAGTGATTAGAACTATAGCCTTCAGGTTGATCTCAGCATGTGAATTTGGAAGAGTTCGGTGTATGTTAGAAAAATCTATGATAGATTTCTTCCAATGAAACAGCTGCTAAGGCTTTATATCTAATATTATGAGATGGAGGATAGGATAGAGTTTATTGTGTTCTAGTTTAGTTAGCAAAATTTGCAGCTTGCACGTATTTCATCCATTTGCTTTATCAGATTGTAAAACTCTGCATACTCTAGTTGAAATCTTGCATAAAAGTCTTTGAATCTTGGAAGTTGACTGACTATGTGAGAATTTTGTACAATCAGGAAAAGAGGATAGGGAAGATGAAGTTTTATTTACTCACTTTAGTCATTGAAAGGGTTCTTTTAGAATTTATCTTTCAACTTTTATTGTCTTGCAAAACATGTCAATTCTGTGATTATACATTTGATTGAACAGATATTTAGCACTTTCTTACATTCCGAGTATGGAGGTCCTGGTACACTCTTAGTTCTTCCTTTCGTTGACATGGCTGATACCCTAAATGAACGGGGGTTACCTGGTGGGCCACAAGCTGCGCGTGCTGCTATCAAGTGGGCCCAAGATCATGTTGACAAGGATTGGAAAGAATGGACTGCTGGTGATAGCAACTCATAGTCCTCTAATAACTCTGATACTTATGGTGTAATAGCTAAATTTTAGCAGTTTTGATATTGCCTTCTAAGATGGACTATAAAAGACGTAGATAGTTATGTTTAGAATGATTGTTAGGATAATTATACAGAGAAACGTAGTCATTTGTAAGCAAATGGAGCTTTAGGCATTTGGTAAGGCTTTTAACTAGTATTTTCTGTTTTACATAAAATCCATTTCCATATTTTATCATATTTTCTTTCAAAATAAGTTTTTATACCCACTGCTGTGATATTTCTAGTGCATTAGTATTTACAGCTAAAACATAAGAAGGCATATGCCGGTTAATCACGTCAAGTTAATATAACATCTAGCATATAGGTACATAGATATTTAAAGAACTTGATGGCGTTTGGTACATCTAAGGGAGTTTCCAAATCATTATCTAGTAATATAATTTTTGAGAAGTACTCTCTAATATTTGTAATTATTAGTTAGAATTTATGAAAATTCCTATCTTTGAAAGGTTCAAGTATTCTCTCTCAAAACCAGTCTTCAAATAACATTCCTTATTGTAGTTCAAATCTCCATAGGGTGAGCTTAAAGCATAGATAAACACTATAAAGTATAAAATTAATGCCAATGCAACAGCTGAGGATACAATTATATTGCATATTCTAGATTGCATGAAAAGCATGAGGCAAAAGCACAATTGAAAAATGCCCATCCGATCATAATCATCTGAACGTCCGTTTGAGGAGATAGACAAACCTCCGGCGTTCATTATTTGCTCTGTCCATTATACAAAGCATCATCAAAATGCTAATGACGTCATTGAGGACTAATTCAAAAAATATATTATTGGGATTTGATTCGTAATTAATCGAGTCACCAATAAACACAGTCACTGATCTATAAATTGCGGGCGTGTTCTGCTACAAACCCAAAACAAACCAGCAGGTGCCATGAATGAATTAATCTACACACTCTTCCTGGACTTGTCCATCTGCAGACTCAGAAAGCTTAGAAAAGTTAAATACAAGCATTCACGGATGAAGCGATGCAAGACTATAGCTAAAACAATATTAGGTTCCAAAAGCCTTACCGGCAAGATTGACGGCCAAATTTGCTTGGGCATCAGCCTCGGAGTTGAAGTTCTTCACAATATAAACAGAAAGTTATGTTAAAAGAAGCGCTTAAAAACAGCATCAGGAGTCTTGTTTTTGAACAGATATAAATAATTAAATAAGGAGGCTCTCATCTTTACACAAAATCTCAAAGGAAGAAAGGATTTATAACACAAATGATTCCTAAAAGGTTAACCAAAAATTCAAAGAAATGCTTAAACAACAGCATCAAGAATCTTGTTCTTGAACAGATAAAAGATTTAAACAAGGTTTTCATCCTTGCACACAAAATCTATCAAAGGAAAGAAGGGGTTTATAACACAATTGATTCCTAAAAGGGAAAAAAAAACTGATAAAATTAGTTAAATTCTAAATATGGGGAGTTTATAGGCCTGTTTATGGAGTAGAATTAGGGCGTGGGAAATAATGCCCATCAAGTCATCAACAAATAAACATTAAAAAATATATACTGAACCAGGAAGGAGATAATGCATTTATAGAATTCAGTTCAAAGTTTCTGAACCACAAAGGAGCCAAGAATGATCCTTCACGTTGTTGATATTTTAGTAAGAGGCTACAGAACGCATTACCTTTTTCACATATTTTCAGCAGTTTGGATAGTGTACAAGATTAAGGCAAGATTAAGCCCAAAATAATTCCATATACATGAATAGCTCAAAAACTATACCTACCCGTAGAACATGACTAATCTGGAATGATAAAAATTTATCCTTGAGTTCTTTTGCTGCCTTATACAATGTAGACAAGTTCTCATTCTTGACCTTCCAAGACCCATCAATCTGTTTCATGCATTAGCACAAGAAAATTGGAGAGAAACAAACTGTAATAATTGAAATCAATGACAAATACTTGAAAAAGAAATCAGGATAGAAACTAAAAGGTACATAGATGAATTAGATGTTATTCCTGTACTTAGTTGATATTTCCAAGGCTAAGTTACAGTTTTCTGTCATGCAATTTACCCCAAACTCATAGTTGTTAACTTAGCATAGCATGATTCAGAGTTAGAATTACCCAATCAAGTATGAGTCAGCAAGCCAATGACTCATATCATGTGATGAACTGCATGTGGCTTTGAATTGTGCAATACATGCATAAATTTGTGTGATTCTGAATCACCAATACAAATCACAGATTTAGTGATTCATTCTTTTTTCTTTTCTTTCACCAATTCTTATCAAGGAAATTGAAATGTAATAAAAACTTAAATAGTTAAAAAAGGAACTTAAGGAGTGCTACGGAACCGTCCTATTTGATTATTCCATTCCCCTATTTTCATTTTTCTTAAACAGGGGCTTCACAAGATCACTTACTCTACGGCACAAACTATAACAAAATGTGTTCAAAGTGTACTCATGTCAGTGCCTCCAGGTAAGTGATTTCAAGTATCAGATTACTAATAATAGTATGAATCACAGGTTTGCAAGACAAGAGACTGATATGAAACACAGGTTTGAACACATGCAAATAAGGTCGTTAGAGGCACGAGTGAGAAAAAGTGGATGATATGTAGTCCAGTGAAAAGGAGATAGAAGGCGACCTAGAATAACATTGGAAAGAATTATTAAAAGGGATCTTAAAGTAAATAATATCTTAAAGAATCTTATTTTTTACCAAGTTCAATAACATCATGTGATCAATGTAGTAAATCTCATCTAGTAAGATAAGGCTTGGTGGTTGTTGCAGGAAACAAGATTTTAAGTCGAGACACACCACAGAGTGGAACATTGTAACTTATCCTATTTTCATTCCTTAAATTTATTATTGAATGATAACTCAATATAGAAATGTGTGTTCACTTAAGTATTTTGTTGGAATACAGAAGCAGCAGATGAAAAATATCATATCACTTTTGTCATGTTGGTTCCAAAATACCTTAACATTGAAGTAAAAAGTGTCACAATCATCTTACTATGAAATTTGGGTTTATCAAAACTAGCAAGCCAAGCATGCCTCTAAATTAAACTCAAGAAATATAGACATGGGTATAAATTTTGGTATTTCATTATGGATTTGATATTATGAGCTTTAATACTAAGAGGATACAATACACCCATGGTAATGAGAGAGAGATGAGGAAGGCTAGAAAGGGAGGTGGTGGTTTGGGTTGTGGGTACAACAAGGACAGGATGGAAATATTTAAGCTAATGGCATGCAGCATCACAGTATGACTACGGGGAAGTGGGAAATGTGTGAGAAGGAGAATACATCTGGGGGTTAGTGGGGATAAATGTGAGTGGAGCAAAGTGTAAGGAACGGGGGAGTTATTAAGGAATTGGGGCAGGAAGGAAGCAGACTGTTAAAAGTTCTGTAGTGTTTCTATTTTAACTTTCTTGGTTTTTGAGTGTGAAACTGAGGAACCTTTGATTCTATCTCTAATTGGGGCTTATCCCAAACTTCTGTAATAAAAGAACTAGCTCCTTGAAATTGGTATCACCACTCTGATCTAGGGAGCTTTGCTACTGGATTTGAAGATAACAAGGGTGGAGAGCATTGAGAGGTTGAAATTTTTGAAAATTATCCGAAGACATTTCTGCATTGGTGGAAGGAAGAGGAAGAGGAAGAGGAAGAGGAAGAGGAAGACAAGACTGATAGAGAAGATTGACAATTCCATAGTTTTGTGAAGATAAAATGTGTTGCTGGTTGATCAAGGATGAGGAAGACAAGAATGATAAAGAAGATTGATGATCGATTTCATGATTTTATGAAGAAATGTGTAGCTAGTTGATCAAGGTGGTGTACTTCAGTCATTCAGTGTGACAAGAACACTTGAGGCAGAGAGGCTCCAAGGGATATAAAGGCTCTCAAAGGTTGTTTTTTCAACTGGAGGCTTGGTGGATATCATGCAACCGTCAAGAGACTAGGTTCATGTTCACGCATTGCTAAAGCATTTCCAGCTTTAGTATGATTCAGATATATCAGTATGTAATTGGTCCATGTTTTGGTTAGAAGACCATGACAGATATATCAACTGATTCCTTGGGGTCTGACACAGTCACAGTCTCAGAGATTGAGGAAGACAACCTATAGGAGATTGATTAGAATGAGGTGATTGAAAAGCAAGATGAAAAATAGAAGGAATCATTTTCGAGGAGGAAGGCTATCCTCTAGGGTGCTGGGATGAGACCTATGCAGCCTCATCCAGTGCCATGTCTGGGTGGCGGAATAAGAAAGAGAGGAGGGGCTGGAATGGTAATCAGGTTGAGCAGGGGTCAAGCAGATGCTGAGCAAGGGTCAAGCCAAACTTAGTGCCACAGAAAATGGGTTTTACAGAAACAGAAAGTGGAATCAAATTTAGAGCTGTATAATGGGCCTATCCAGGAATGAAAACGAGATTTAATTTAGATCCCAAATTTTGCTGAACAAAAGGATCTATGGAGACAACAAACTCAGTCCTGTAATTATATTTGTTTTACCAAACAAAAAAGAGGCATGCTGAGCTGATTTTGTTCAAGGCACAATATGGCTACAATTAAATTGCTAACTGAGGATATTTTGGACATACACTAAAAAGATGAGGAATGCATAGAATATAGATTGACAGCTTAGTCACTATATGATTTTTCCCTCACAAATAGGCCCAGTGAAGATCAAGAATGAAACTGATAAGGTAAAGTAAAGTAGGTAAAGAAAATGACAAGAACTATCACATCACTTTTCATTTTCAATTTCTTCAAACAGCCTTGTTCCGGTAGATTTAATTTAGAAATCCTACACTTATCAACCGGTGCTTCTTTGATTGGTCAATTTAGAGGTTAGTCATAATTCCTAGATGGACGCCATGTTCCAGAGAAGTAGACAGCTCATGTTGATGTAAAATTTCAAATTAGCTTCATCAATGGCCAAATCTTTGGTACTAAGTTCCAAGACAATGCATATGGTTTCTTGCCGATTCATGTGGTTCGCATTCACCCAACTTCTTCTGATTACTGGGAGCTATTGCTGTACGATGCAAGAAATGCAGAGTGGGAGCTGACAGTGCAAAAGTGGGTTTTAGCGAATGGAGCCCGGATATCAGGTTTCAATTTTCAAGCACTGGGACACTGTAGGAAGACCCTTCAAGCAGCTATCAGGACACTCATCTAACCCTGCGAACAAGGTGAATCATTTTTTTTTCTTCTTTTTGTGTGTGTGTGTGTGTGGGGGGGGGGGGGGGGGGAGAGAGAGGGGCAAGGGTACATAGGCTAGGATTGGAAATATTCAACCTAATGACCAGGCAGCATAACAGTCTGCCTCCAATGTGTGAGATGGAGAATTCAGACAGGTTTGAGAGGGGGGAAAATGACGAGTGCAGAGTAAGGGAAGTGGAAGTTATTCAGCAGGGAATTGGGTCTTAGGGCAGTGAGGAAGCAGTCTATCAAAGTTCTGCAGTGTTCTACCTTAATTTTCTTGTTTAGTGAGTGTTAAGAAGAGTGAGGAACCTTAGATTTTGATCACTGCAATAAAATTACCAACTTTTGTCTCAATGAAAATGCATATGATAGGTCCCTCAGTAGTGTAGAATAGACAGTCAACTTCCGAATATGGACAATCAAAGATTTGGTGTTACTATATGCTGTTTCTTTTCCCTATTCAATTCTCTCTTTAACAATCTGGCAATGCATCATGCATTCATGTCCTACAATTTGTTAAGAACTTAAGACACAAGCATACCAAGTTTACAAGGCCTTTAAATTTTAAAGGCTATAAGACAAGCATGACTTGACAGTGCAGGCAGAGTTAATTGCTGAGACGTGCAAATTTTCCTTTTACACAAAGGAGGTCCTAGAAACTGGTGACGGGATGGAAAGAGGTAGCTCAGACTGAGTGCTGAGACTCAATGGGAATTAAACCAGACATCAAATGCTGCTAGGCAATTGGCAAGGAGGCAAAGTTCCAATGAATTAAGTTTATTACAAGACCAGTTTTATTTTACATATATTCAAGAATATGTTCAATGCAAAGAGTCTTAAAAAAACACTTTGGTGCAAAATCTGAAGACATAACAAATATAAAGTATAAGCAGAGGGGCAGATAACTGGAGATTTTTTTAAGCATTTAATCATGTTAGAATAAATTAACAGAGACAAGAATATAAATCGGCCAACCTGCATGCAAACAAGTTTGGAATCACCTTGGATATGAATACCAGTAAACCCCTTTTTAAGAGCATATTTCATTCCCAATATCATTGCACGATATTCTGCAGCATTGTTTGTTGCTACACCCACACCTTCACGCAACCTACAAACCTTTTAAGAAATAATAGTTAAAGAAATGAAATAGTTGTATGCCAATGATGCGTAGATACAGAAACATCAAATGTATACCAAACTTCCATCATTAGCTCGCAGAATAGCCCCGGCACCAGCTTTTCCAGGATTTCCTTTTGATGCACCATCAAACTCAAGAATACAAGTCCGCTGCACAAGGATAGATGACTATGAGGACTAGATTTTATTAGTATATAAGAGATCTAAAAACATCAAATATGCAGATGACTTGTAAATAATTAATCAGAATATCTCATTTAAAAATAATCAACAAGGATTGGCTCCCCACAAGGTTTTTCTGCAGATAAACAGGAGTTTAAATTTAGACTAATCTGCACAGTTTATAAGTTTAGGGTGTCAAGTTGCTAAGCTTCAAACTGCATGGTGGTTTTCTGCAAGAGCATTGTTACATTATACCAAAATGTTTCCATACAATCCATGACAAAGACATGGATGTAGTGGACAAATTATAACTTAAAGAATAAAAGATAATTATGTAGTTTGGCAAAAATCAGGCCATGTTCTTCAAAATATACAAAGTTCATATGAATTGGCATTTCCCTTTCACATTTTCTCGTTCTGCATTTTAGCCAATACTTCACTCAACATCCTCAAGGTGCAAAGACAGGACCCAAGTAGTCCTGATGGTAGCACCTCCATGAGAGCATCACATAAAACTTGACTTTTCAGTTAGAAAGCTATAAATAATGTGTTTGCCCCTGACTGTTACCTATTAGTTTACTGATAAAAATATTTATGGTTAAATCATAAAGCCTGCATATTGAGCTGATGCAGCAACAATTTTGGTTGAAATAAGGTTTGTGTAAGCAAAATATTTTCGCATACGTGGGCATCAGTAGAGTGTCCACTTACAGTTTCATGTGATGAAGGTGCTTTGGCCACAGCACCATGATCTAACTTCACTAGCTTTCTCAAGGGATCTTCAGAGAGGGATGTCAGAATACTTGCTTCCTGCCAAGAAAATAAAGAAATATCTCAAATATATTAAATGATCAGTAAAAAGTTAAAAACAAGTTTGGATAGTGCAGCCAATTAGGAAGAATCAACAGATGAAGAAAGGATGACATTGACATACAACTCACTGAAGAAGCACAGAAGGAAAAGCAACTGGAATCTACAACATTTTCTCAAGATTGATTTTTCACCCTATGATTGAGGTTTCTTTACTGAAACTGTTGAGTGTACTATCTGATGCAGAAGATAGAGTCCCATATCCATAATACTTTTATTATTTATTACCAAGCATTGACTCAAGCCAATTAATAAGTTAAACATTTCCTGACATACACAGCACTATCAATCACATTTGGACTCTTTATTATCACATAGTTGTTACATGTGTATATATTGCTTCAGAACCACAATAAGATTCTATGCTATGCAACCGATGCAATGAAATACATCATAAAGTTAGGAATACATTTGAACAAATACAATATAGAGATATCAGACATGGGAGGAGGTTCATAAGTCATAAGCATATTACATCTCAGGTATCTAAAATTATAAGGATGTTACATATTTTTCCCAAATGAAAATGATAAAAAAACTCATAATTTATAAAACAACTGTCAAATAGAACATTAACATCTTAGTGAACACTAACATATATAAAATCCGTGAATCTTTGCCTTCCTCATAAGCATGATGTATTTCCAAATTATGCCAAACTTACCACATTATCTTGTGCAAGCACTCCCGCAGACCTCTTTTTAGATACATCGTTCTTTGATGTGCCCTCTTCGGTAGAAAAAGGATCCTGAAACATACATAACAAATCTTCTGATTTGCTTGAGTAACAAACATCACTGTTTTAAAGGGTATTTACTATTTAGAGGTTATCTAGGGATAAAGCATAAGTCAAGGGAACAGAAATGTGCCAGCTATACATATAGAATACTATCTTTATCAGAAAAACTGTTTTAGTACAAAATACTAACCACCTACTACCTAGTTCTTTATAGTATAACCAAAAATTGGTTTATATATAGATTCATAATCAAGAAGGAACAGAACCAAGTAATGAAATTGACATGCATTAGACTGTGTTTGAAGGATTCTATACATAAATTTCTTGGTAAAAAATTGAAGTGAAAGAGGAACTACTCCTGTCAATCACTAAAGCCCTACTAATGTAAATGTCAAAGATATTTACATTATCTGAGAGCACATTCTACTATCAATTCAAACAAATTTCCCTGCATTGAGAATTAGTAGTGTGTTCAACTCACAGTTAAGGAAAACTTGTAAATCAAGTACATGAAATGAACTTATTATAGATTATAAATAAGGAAAAACAGCACCAACAAAAGTTGATATCACTTTTGTCAGATAATTGAATGTCATCAACTCCGCTACTGGTAACCATTTCCCATCCTAATTCTCAATAGATGATGCACTCATAAAAAAAAGGGAAAATTAAATGCATTGCAACAGTTATTTACCAGGAAAGGGCAAGGAACAAGCATGCCAAACAGATCCTCTTTCAAATCAGCAGCTCTAATTGTGTATAAAGCATTCTTCAGTCCGTGCGAGACAAGATAGTCCTCAGTGTCCTTTGACAATGAATATCCCTTGTATACACTAACAGGAGGATCACATACCTACCAAGTGACACCAAAGGAATCATTTATTTATCCTACTGTAACAGAAAAATCAATACCATAACGTTCTCAACAGCTACACATATAGCTACTATATCCAATCAAGCAGATAATAATCACCCATTGGAATGAAGCAAGACAGTTACAGCATAAGGTCCCATTTGGAAGAACTTATGGAGAGCATATAGAAATAGCTTATAACTCTCAGAAGTTCTTTTAAGTTTATTTCAATGAACTATTTTATATAGCTTATAAAAATAAGCTCTTTTCAGCTTATTAAATAAAGGCTTAATCAAGTTGTGTTTCCAAATGTATCCTGAAAAGAAGAGTAATTTGAATTTTGAATACTAAAATGGAAAAATCATGCTCACAAAGATCACTCTACAGTTTCAATTAAACATTTTTCTCACTTTTTAATTTCGCTATCTAATAAAAATTTAAAACAGTAGAAATTGCTTAAACATGCTAAAAACTCTTAACATTTATCAACAAGATTAAAAAAAATAGGAAAAAAAATATATATAATGGTGGTTCCGAAGGGAAATTACAGAAGATCCAACTTGAGCTTGAGAATCACTCAGACTACTATAGATTCCGACAACGTCCCCTTTTCGCACCACATAGAAAGCGTCCTTCTCCATAACCGGTTCAGGCTCCACCTTCTGCAACCGAGAAGAACCACTTTTGCTACGTCCCTTTTTTGTGGAATAGCAGCGTGTAGCGAGCACGAATTCTGATTGGAAAGACCTAATGGCACGATGCTCTGATATTATCGGGAACGAGCATCGATGAAGTGAACGGTTCGCGATGAATCGAGAGGTGCTTCCGACAATGGCAGCAGTGTACGATGACAGTTGCGACAAGCAGTTCATGTCAGAGAAGAGTTCTCCAGGTTGACTCAGGTCCTGTTTCGTTGCTGAGAAAGGGAGGGAAAATGCATGGTGGAATCGGCGATTAAGTGGGAAAATGAAGTAACTTTTGCGACGTGAAGAGTTGAGACTTAAGAGAGTAAAAGACGAAGCAGGGCAAGGCTATCCAGCGTTACTCGGGTCTGGTTCATTTTTTTGAAGCCCTTTCTTTTTAATTTTAGCCCGCTTTAATAATATTGGGCTGATTTAAAATTGGGCTCTAGTTAATATTTCCGGGTTTACTTTTGCAACTTTTTTTTCACATTCCTACTAAAAAAATTATAATTTTTTAAATATAATATTTATAATAATAAAAAATTCTTAAACAAGTTTTCAAAATTAAATTTTCAAATTTTTTGAAATTAATTTTCAAAATTAAGATTCTACAATTCTAAAAATAAATTTTGCACTTTTACAAATTAATTTTGGAAAGTGTAGAATTCTAAATTTAAAAATTTATTTTTAAAATTTATTAATAACTTCATGTATTAATTTTAAAATGTAAAATCTTAATTCTTAGAAGATTATTTTTGAAATTGAAAATTTCAAATTCTATAAATTTATTTTTGAAATTATAAAAACTTAATTCTAAAAATTTATTTTTAGAAGTGTAAAATCTTAATTTAAAAAATTTATTTTTGGAGGAATGAAAATTCTATTTTTTTTACTATAAATCAAGTTTTATATGATACATTCAAAATAAAAGACTTACTTTAAAGCTTTGTTTGAGAATTTAAAAGAAGAAGAAGGAGGGAAGAGATGGGAAAGGAAGTTAAACCTCTCCCTTATTTGAATGTTTAATATTGAAAAAAGAGGATGATGAGGAGTTTAATTATATAAATGATATTTTATTTTTTATTTTTACAAAAAATAAAAAATAATATTTTTTTATAAAAATTAATAATTTTGAAATTTTTATTTTAAATTTTTATAAATATTTTAAAAAAATTATCACTTGAAAAATTAACATTTTTTTAAAAAAATAGAATTCAATTTATAAAAGAATACTAGAGAGTAGGAGAAAGAAAACTCCAAAATGGAGAACTTAAAAAATAAGGGTTATGAGTTTAAAAAAACTCCCAAATTAGAACAATCCTAATTATGTTTAGGAGTTATGTTTAGGAAGAGAGGAGAAGGGTTATGAGGAATTAATTATTATTTTGGAGTTGCTTAACTAGAGGGGGTAAGGTTTTGGGAGATTTTCTAAACCCTTCAAAAGCTTGTTTTTTGAGTTCTCTCATTTTAGGAGTTTTCTCTCTCCCACTCTTTTTATACTATTTCACAAATAAAATTTTAATTTTTTTTAAATATGTTAGTTTTTTAAGTGATAAATTTTTTTAAAAAAATTATAAAATAAAAATATTAATTTTTAAATTATTTATATAATTAAATCTTGTGTCACTCTTCCTTTTCAATATTAAATATTCAAATAAGGGAGGGGTTTAAACTCCTTCCCTTTCCCTTCCCTTCCTCTTCTTCTCCCTTCAAACCCTTCCCCTTTCTCTCCCTCCAAACTTCCAAACAAAGCCTAAAAGTAACATGCTTGAAATGCATTTGAAGAATGTGGTGATGGAAGAATAACAAAATTTGAAACAATTAAGAACAAAAATGAAATGGATTTAAAGACAAATAGTGAAATTTAAAAAAAAAATATATTACAAAAATAGAAAAAAAAATAATTATTGTTAAGGTCATTATAAGAAGAAAAAAAAAGGTGTAGAAAGAAACTCCCCATTTTATGTGTAAAGACTTTTCAAATCTTTTAAAAAAATTCAAACCTCTTTTTTTTACACAGAATAGTCTTTTTCAGGGGAAAAGAAAAGTTATGATGTTCTCAAATATGGGCTCTTGAGTCCAGTCTAAGATTTAAGTGTATGAAAAAAAAAATGCTTTGAGAAGAGTCCTCACGTTAGCATCTAACTTGTGGGTAGAGAAATTAGCATCTTCTCTGTTAAGTGAAAAATATACTTTATAAACGAAAATATATATATATATATATAACCTCCATGATATTTTCTATCTCATGCAATCATGTATCATTAGTTTTTTAAGATACTTTTTGATGAATTTTTATAGTAAATCATTTTTTCTTTGATTGGTTATTGAATCAATAATTTTTTTAATTTAATTTATTTTAATTAACATATAATTTTTTTTATCAATAATAAGTATGATGGAGATGTGTTCAAATAAAAATGTTAGTAATATATTTTTTTAATATACTTTTTATTATTTATTGAAATTTTATTAAAATTTATAAAATTATATTTGTCTCATTTCTAATTCAACGACATTCATTTATAATTTTGTAAATTTTAAACTTTTCAATCAATAATACTAAGTATAATAGGAAGTGTGTTAAAGAATGTATTTTTAACACTTAAAAATATCTCATCAAACTTATCATTGTCTTTATTATTAATTAAAATAATTTTTATTTAATAATTAATTGAGAAAAAAACTTGATTTGATATAAAAACTAATAAATCATATCTCTCAAACTTATTTTCTTTAATTTTTATAAGAATCTTGCCGCTTGATAGAAAATAAATTAATTTCCTTCAACTACAAATTAGAGTCTAAGATGAGGATTCTTCAAGCATATTTTAAAATCATCATGAAAGTAACATTTTATCAATTAAACTATTTTTGAATTTTAATAAAATTAAAATTTTCAAATATCTATATATTTTAATTTAATGTAATTTATTTTATATTACAAATGAAATATTTTATATTACGTTCATCGCATTCATAAATTAAGACCTTAATACAACAACACATGATATTTATTAATGCACTTTATTAAATGATTTTCTTTTACTTTAAAATGAATATTAAATATTATATATATATATATATATATTTGTACAGTATCATAAAACTTAGACTAATTATTGACTCGGTTAAAGTATTAGTTTAATTAGTTATTGATTTTTAAATCTTTGATTAAGCTTAGAAAGAAAATAAAATTATACATCATACTATTAACAATAAATTTATTTGTTTTTATCAATTGAAAAAATTAATATAAGAGATAAAATATAAAACAATGCTAATGATGCAGAACAATATAAAATAAATGCAATGAATAACAAAATAATACAACATAAGATGAAAACAATAATAAAAGTGATATGTATTTTCAATTTTTCTGTTTCTTAAATTGTAACTAGTTTATTGTATTCATATTGTTTTAAAAGGAAAATACCAAACAAGATTGACAGAATGATTGAAGTTGAAATGGAATGTTAGGGAGCAAGAGTCATGTGAAAAGGAAATGTGGGTTTACCAATTACCTTTTTTTTAGAGTTTCAATGCACAAGAATATTTTAGAGGAAAGATAAATATTTTTATTAAAAATAATTAAATTAATAATTTTAAAATAAAAGATATAAAGTGATATATTAACATAAATTTAATATATTAATTTACATTTATTATCATAAATAATATGTAATTCTTCTGATTTAAAATTAAACAAATACGTCATCCTTTTTTTTCTCTTTCTAAAAACTCCCTTCCTAACAATTATTTAGGCTTTATTTAGAAGAAAAAAGAAAGACTTATTTGATATTTAACTATATTAAAAAAAAAAAAGATGAAAATGAGATAGTATTCTTCAACCATCTTCTAATATCATATTTGTAATTTTTTTTAATTTAAAAGGTTGTATATTATTATTAACCTCTCTTTTTTATTCTTTCTCTGCCTTTCAAAATTTTTCCTTTATTCTTCCTCAGACAAAACTTAATGGATAAAACGAAACTAGCTTATAAAAAAAAGAGATAAAAAATAAAATTTTTAACCTTTAAAATTGAATCAACTAACAAGCCCCTTAAACTTAGTTGTTGTATTTTGAAAAAAAATTAGTTTCTTATATTAAAATTAATGTGTAAAATGCTAAGATACTCCAATTAAGGATAAAATTATTTAAATTACGAGATGAATATTTAAATCATAGGTAAACTTTATTTTTTTAATAATTTTATTATCAAATATTTCATCCTATGAAATGAATATTAACATTTTATTACAATCTTATATATTATATATTTAAATGTAATTAAAAGTTTAATTTATATTTTTCATCTCATGAATGCACCGGTACATTAATAAAATAAATATGGATGATTATAAATTATTTTAACTAAAACAATTTAACATAATATACAGTGAAGACTGAAGTCGCTGTCTGTTTATAAAAATTTCACCAGTTCCATATTTTTGCACGTATGTTAGTTTTTCGAAGTGGAATAATATTTGTAGACTAAATTATAATATTTTTTTCTCGATTTAAATAAAATTTTGTTTTATTCTTTAATTTTTATTAATTTAATTTAAATTTCACTTTAACCCTTTAATTTCCTCTAAGTTAATTTTTTATAACAAAATAATCCTTTAACTTTGTTCATTCTTATAACCAAAAGGTTTTATAAAACAATGTTTTAAAACAAAAAGAAAAATATCTTATTTTACATTGTTTTATGTATTTTAATATTAAATCACCATCCAAGATTTTCAAATTTTCATAAAAACGTTTTTTAATTGCTCAAATTATTTTTGATTGACTACTCGATTCAACACATTATCATTATCTAATCCATCCAAAAAAAGATTAAATAATTCAAATACAAATTTCCAAACATGCAATGGTGTCGTGGTGTAGTTGGTTATCACGTCAGTCTAACACACTGAAGGTCTCCGGTTCGAGTCCGGGCGACGCCATTTTCATGTAGTCATTAATTTTAATGGCTTTCAGTTTTTGGGTCTCGATTCAAGGACGTTGTTGGATTCTCTTTCTTACACGTGACAAGATGCAAGTGGAAACTATAGCAAATTTTCAAGTACTGGGTTGTCCCTTGAAGCCCATTATAGCATTCATTCCAAATGTGGACTGGACCATCATATTCCACACGCATGTGCATCATGGGCTGGTCATATATAGAAGTAGACAAGCCTAACCCCAAACCAGCACTAGTAGCACCCTGAACTTTTTGCAGCCGGACCAACTACAAACCACCATGAATTGTTTCACCAATGCCAGCACAATCATTCCACGCTACCCTTAATCAACTAAGA